AACATGCAAAGTTAAAAAGACATGATTTTTAAGCATGAAAATGAAAAATATATATAACCCTAAGATCATCAAGTTAAAAGTTATTATTTTTAAACTTAAGAATATCAAATAAATGGAATAAACCCAGCAACCATTTCATATTTAAAACAGAAGAGTTCTTTACCTTTAGGAAAGATGAGAGAAGTGTGAAACCGAAGGGTTTATTGACAAAGAAGTAGAATGGAGTTTTGAGAAATGGGAAAGAAAATTGGGGAAATGTGAAAGATTGAAAGAATAAAAGTGTGAGGGGGAAGTGATATAACGCTTCTAGGTTGAAATTACCATTATAACCTTCATGTTGTTACTTGAATTTTAAAATGGTTAGTCTTTTCTCGTAATATCACTAAGCCGAATCATTAGAAAATGAAAAGTTACTTTTAGAAATTGACAGATTTACCCCAAACAATTCATTACAAAATGAAAAGTTACTTTTAGAAATTGACAGATTTACCCCAAACAATTCATTACAAAATATTTATATTGAACCTCATTAAATTAATTTTCTGATGGTGTAATCAATGAGGGAAGAGAGAGTTATTATTTTATTACATAAATAATGTAGACTTACGAAAATAACCCTACGAAATTAAAGAATTCAGTAAATTACTTATACCCAAATAATTGTTTTTTTAAAATAAAAAATGTTTAGAATGTCAATTTTAGCCTTGAAAAAACATATGTCTCTTATAGGAGATAGTCATATTTGTAATTATACCAGACCTTCTATTCTTCTTAAGCTTGTTAATGAAAATTTTATTGAGGATTACCTTGTAGAATATGGTGTGTGAGATTGCAAGCCTGCATCATTACATTAGGGAGATGAAAATGCAGCATGCATCATTATGATTGTTTTGATGAAGACAAAGTGAAGACAAAATCAAGACAAAGAGAAGTCAAAGAGAGGACAAGGATAAGACAAAGCAAGCTTGAAGACGTGTGCATCTCAACAAACAACAAGGTCAAGACTCAACATCACTCAAGTAAACTCGGGCTTAGAGTTTTATATTTTTAGAGTCTATGTTTGATTGGGTAGAGTCTAAGCTAGGTGAACCTATAATGGAAGTCTCACAAAGTCTAAAATTGAATATAACTAATCTAACTAAAATGAGACTTGCATACATTCATACATGATTCACATGCTCATTCATTTACATATGATAACATGATTTTAAGCGCATTAAAATTGAGTATATCTCATATATTTTCAAAATCATGTATCACGCATATACACATCATGCAGAAGGTTCATCATGCATCAAGAAAACACTTTTTAACACAATTAATCGATTAAAACTTGTGTTAATCGATTAAATGAACTAGGGAACTACTTAATCGATTGAGTATGGGATTAATCGATTAAATAGAGTTACAGTAGCTGAAATCTTGGATTTCTAACTGTCGTTAATCTATTAAGTGACGATTTAATCGATTATCTACAGTAAAAAAAGTTTTCTATAAAAGCTTACTTGTTCCCAAATGTTCACAACTTTTTCCAACTTTTCCAATTTCAAAAATCACAAGTTTGTAGAATTCTTTGAGCTTATCTTTCATATCATTAGAGAGAGGTTCTTTGTGTGTGAAAAAGTTTCTTTAAGTTTTCTTACATTGCATAAGAGAGATGGGTTTTTCAAGAATCATTCTTTTGGGCTTAATCTTTCATATTCTTTCTTGATGAAAAGCCAAGCATCAATCACACTTAGTTCTTCAAGTCTTTGTGAGATTTCTTGGTTGAGTTCTTAGGTCTTTTACTGTTTCATATCTGCACATCTTAGGTGCTTTTGTAACGAGCTATTTGACGATTTTTGTGAGAAAATCCTAACTGCGGTTAGGTTGTAAAATCTCTAAGGTTTAGAGGTTAGGTTGTAATATTGGCTGGCTGCGGTTGGCTTGGTATAGTCTTCACTGAGTATCTTGTTTGGCGCATCGAGTAGCAAGATTGGCCACCGTTTACGAACGGATGGAAGTCAAGGCTTGGCGAAATAGGATTCGCATAGCAGGTAGGAAAGGCTCAATTTGGAAGTGTGTGTGTAAAGAACATATTTTCAAATATAGTGAAGCAAATCTCCCAAAATCAAAAGGGGAGGCCTGAATGTAATTTGCCAGTGGACAAGCAAACGAACCAGGATAAAATAGTCGTCTCAAGTTTTCAATCATTTTGTGCTTTATATGTTTAATTGATTTGCTTATTGAATTTAGTGCATGTTCTTGAATCTGTCTACACATTGGCATTAATTCTTTGAGTAGATTGCATCTGTTTTTGATTGAAATTGCTGTAACGTTTCTTGCAAGAAAACTGATTTTCAAGAAACGCAAGAGTCAAGTTAATCGATTAAACCTGTCTTTAATCGATTAATAGCAGGTCGATTTAATCGATTAAGTGAATCTTTAATCGATTAAGTGAATCCTTAATCGATTAACTGGACTGATTTTTAGAATTTCTCATTTACCCGAAAAATGTTAATTGCTTCTGCGCACACCTATTCACCTCTCTCTAGGTGTTATTTGTTGTGTGGTATACCCAACAGTTTGTATGTAATTCATTGCTCATGTAAAGATGTTGAGACAATTAAATGATATTGAACCTTTAATGTTATAAAAAGAAAATATGTTAAGAACAAAAGTTTAGAATTCTTGTTAGATATTTTGAAAAATTTCTTTGTAAACCACATTTGTTTTTAAGCATCAAAATAAAACAAATATATAGTCCTAACATCATCGAACATACAAAGTTAAAAAGATATCATTTTTAAGCTTAAGAATATCAAATAATTCGAATAAATCCAACAACCATGTCATCTTTAAACTTAAAAATGTAAAAAAAAATATGGAATAAACCTAGCAATAAACAATGTGTATAATAAAAGCTGTAGATTTTAAGCTTAAAAAGCGAAAGCTTGGAATATACAAAATCCCCGTTCACTGAAAATGGGAGAAACGCAGTGTTCATAATGATAAAAAAAACTTAGTAAATGAATGGTTTTTAATAAATGTATCGGAAAAAAATCTAATGAAATTCGGAGACCATCAACATGCAAAGTTAAAAAGATGATATTTTAAAGCATCAAAATTAAAAAAAAATGTACAGCCTTAACATCATCGAACATACAAAGTTAAAAGAAACACAGTGTTCATAATGACAAAAATTCTCATTCATTGAAAATGGAAGAAACACAATGTTCATAATGACAAAAATGGAAGAAAACGAAAAAAATAGTAACATGTTATCGAAACACAATGTTTTTGTAATAACATGCAATCTTAAAATACATGTTTTTTTTTTAAAAATCAAAATGGCAAAGAAAGTTTCAATGATTACCTTTAAGAAATATGACACAAGTGTGAAACACAAAAGTTTTTTACCTTAAGAAAGATGAGAGAAATGTTTGGGGAAGAGATGAGAATAAAGTTTTTTACTTTTAAGAAGTGGAATGGAGTTTTGGGAAATGAATAGGGATGGCAATGAAAACCGAACTCGCGGGTACCCGTCCGAACCCAACCTGAATTTAACGGGGAAAACCTGATGTGATTGGGTTCGGGTTTTACCCGGGTTCAAATTCGGGTTCGGGTTCGGGTTTGGTATTGTTAATACCCTACCCCGAACCCGCCCCGAACCCGATTAATATATATAAAATTATAAAATTACACATAAATACATATATAAAAGCTATATATATATAAATTTCTCACATATATATATATATATATATATATATATATAAATTTCACACATATACATATACATATATAAATATATAAAAGCTATATATATATATATATATAAATTTCACACATATATATATATATAAATATATGTTTTGGTTCGGGTTTTTTTCGGGTTCGGGTTACCCGAAACCAGACGGGTTCGGGGATGATATTGTTATTTCTAACCCCGCTTAATTTGGGTTCGGGTTCGGGTTTTGAATTTCGGATTCGGGGTTGGGTAAGCACAAACCCGCCCCCGACCCGCCCCGTTGCCATTCCTAGAAATGAAAAAGAAATTTGGGGAAATGAGAAAGAAGTAAATTGGCATAAGATTGAAATTTGGTATAAGGTGTAAGGACTTTATTATTCAATTACGAAGGTTTATCCAGTTAAAGTAATTTCAAATTCCGAATTGATATAATACTATTTATTGAACTACCCAAACAGCTTCAATATTTATTTGTTCTTTTCTATCCACGTAGTTTTTGTGAATCGATACAACTTTTTTTCTTATCTTGCCTTAACTCATTCTTTGAATTCTTCGTTCTTTTTCTTGATTAAATTTATTTAGTCATTCAATATTCAATTCACAATTACAGATGAAAGGGAAGGACTTCGTTTTTTGAATACCTATCTCAATTTACAGTAGTAGCGGGGCAGGACAAATTGAGATATATAGTTAGTTCATATATATATCTAACTAGTTAATATCTAATATCACATATACATGTCTTTCTTCCATACCGTAAACAAATTATTCGTATCTTGAGTTCAATATTGGATTCGAGGGTAAAATCATCCTTATTCACAAACCCCGTGTAGGGCTAATAGTTTTCATTTTCCATCTCATGGGAAACCCTTTTCGCTCCGCTTAGCCCTACCCCCTAGGGGTATTTTAGTGATAGGTTTTATAGGAATTATCAGATGTACTAGGACTAGCAATAGCGAGTGCATCTTTGATGCAGTCATCAATTCTCCCGAGAGGCCACAATTACCGCGAGCAAACATATTAATGACGAGGAACGCATTTTATTTTTGCTATGCTACTAATTTACTTGCTTTTCTATTCTGCCCAAGCCTGGCCGAGGAAGAATTACGAGGCGTAAAACAAAAAAAATATGCGGATTCAAAGATTAGGGCATATTATATTTATTTTAAAATATCCACCATTTACGAAAATTTATGTGTTTTATTTTTTAAATAAAACAGTAAATCATGATTTTCCTACCCCCAGAGGGAAGGGAAATTCCCTTTTTGGCCGGTTGTGGGCGAGGAGGGATTCGAACCCCTGACACCGTGGTTCGTAGCCACGTGCTCTAATCCTCTGAGCTACAGGCCCCACCCCGTCCCCACTGGATCTGTTCCCCGGAATATGTAACGACCCAAATTCTACCCTTGAAAATTTTTCATTTATTTTAATCCTTTCTTACATACAGTCGTCACCTTCATTAAAAACTCTCAAGTATCTTTCTTTGAAAATACTCTTTACCCTATTATATTATCATACAAATTTATGTTGCGGAAAAACATAATTCATTCAGATAGCCTTTATCACATACGTCCAGTTATGGGTTCTCCAGAGTTATAACGTCCATAACTGCATGTCACCATATTATCTTAATCAGATTAAATTTATCCCAAAATACTATCAAATCAACTACAATATCAAATAGCAATAAAGACAATCGAGTAAATAAACACAAAAGCTTCCTAATTGAGCTTCATCCTCAAAATCCTTCATTTACCTACAATGGGATTATCATAAACAACACACAAAACAAAAGGGAGTAAGTCATTAGTTCAAAACTAACATCACACGATAATCCACATTTCAAATACAATTAAGCATTGATATAAATCATAACCACAAATAAATAAATGTAAACGTTCATATATTCTTTCTTTCATTTCCACGTTATTCACATTCGTCCTATAGTATATATATCCCATAATATATATTCTATAGCACGCCTACTACGTTCCTTCGAAACCTCATACTTCTCATCATTCATATCCACCCTATAGAATATATATCCCATACAATATACTCTATAGAATGCATACGACTTTCATTGTGACATTCTCAGTTCTCATCCTTCATATTCACCTTATAAAATATATATCCCATACTATATATCCTATAACATGCATATGACTTTCATTGTTCACATCTTCCACTTTATCATCCATATTCACCCTATATAACATATATCTCATACTATATATCCTATAGCATGCATATTCGTTTATCTCAAATCTTTTTGTCTCATTGCTTATTCTCGCCATCAGGCTTACTCTTTACCACCTCCGGTTCTACCACATCGGGTATGTAATTTCTCAATGATCCACTACCACATCGGGTATGTAATTTCTCAATGATCCACTACCACTTCGGGTAGGCAATTTCCCTTAATGATCCACTACCACTTCGGGTAGGTCATATACAATACCACATAGGGCAAGTCATACGCAATACCACATAGGGCAAGTCATACGCAATACCACATAGGGCAAGTCATACACAATACCACATAGGGCAAGTCATACACAATACCACATAGGGCAAGTCATACACAATACCACATAGGGCAAGTCATACACAATACCACATAGGGCAAGTCATACGCAATACCACATAGGGCAAGTCATACGCAATACCACATAGGGCAAGTCATACGCAATACCACATAGGGCAAGTCATACACAATACCACATAGGGCAAGTCATACACAATACCACATAGGGCATACCACATAGGGCAAGTCATACGCAATACCACATAGGGCAAGTCATACGCAATACCACATAGGGCAAGTCATACGCAATACCACATAGGGCAAGTCATATACAATACCACATAGGGCAAGTCATACACAATACCACATAGGGCAAGTCATACACAATACTTCGCTACCATTCCCAGTAGGATAACAATAACAGTCCACTACCACTCCGGGTAGGACACCATAACAGTCCGCTACCACTTCGGGTAGGACACAATAAACAGTTCACTACCACTCAGGGTAGGACACGATAAATAGTTCACTACCACTCCGGGTAGGACACAATGATAAACCACTACCTCCCTGGGTAGGGTAACAACCATAAACTTACCAACACGTTACCTCTTTCACATACCTCATTCACATAAGTGAGTATGAATTAGAGCCACTTATCCCTTACCTTGGTGAGCGTTGGGGATCGGTTCCGAGTAACTTTAAAAGTCTCCTCCGCGATTTCCTCAAACCTTAGGATCTTTCCTCATTTCCACCAATAACAACAATGTTAGTCATTTATTCCAAATATCACATAAACAACTTACTTTGCATCATTTAATCATACAAAATATTCAACCATCTAAAACATGCATAACATCTCATATTTCAATATTTCCAAAACTACTTCAATACAAGTTTCTAAATATCAAAGCATACATGTTCATCTCATATAACAACATCAAAGCCATTATCCACATCTAACATTTCATCTCTTTCTCTTTATACTCGTATTCTCATTTTGGGGGGTTTTTGGGGGTTTTTCATGAATAACCCATAAAACTTTCCATTCATCAAATAACAACTCTAAACCAAGAGTTTACAAGATAAAAACAACATAAAAGGAACCATAACTCTAAAGGATGAGTTTCCATGGTTTCTCATGTTTTGAAAATAAATCCAACATACCCAAAACAAGTTAGAGAGGAAGAAAAAGAGTTAGTAACAAGAGGTTTACCTCTTCTCAAGCTCCAAGATGAGTCCTAAGGCTCCTTGCTCTTGAAAAGCTCTCATTTCTCTCTTCTCTTCGAAGTTCTAACCCAAAAATGTGTTTGGGTTTCTGTTTTAAAGAGGTCTCGTCGGGTTGTAATCGATTACCAACATGGTGTAATCGATTACAACGTGAAAAATGCGCATATCTGATGGATGTAATCGATTACCACGAGTGTGTAATCGATTACCACGAGTGTGTAATCGATTACCAGCAATGTGTAATCGATTACCACGAGTGTGTAATCGATTACCAGCAATGTGTAATCGATTACCAGAAATGTGTAATCGATTACACTGTGTCAGATGCACATATCTGATGCTTTTAATACGATGTAATCGATTACCAGCAATGTGTAATCGATTACCAGAAATGTGTAATCGATTACACTGTGTCAAATGCACATATCTGATGCTTTTTACACGATGTAATCGATTACCAGGAGTGTGTAATCGATTACCAGCAATTTGTAATCGATTACCAGAAATGTGTAATCGATTACACTGTGTCAAATGCACATATCTGATGCTTTTTACACGATGTAATCGATTACCAGCAGAGTGTAATCGATTACACTGTGTCAACAGCCCAAAATTGCCATTTCTCGCCTAGGCGAGAATCCTCCAGTATAGTCCAGGATTTCACCCTCCCAGCTGATCCTTTTTCGCTCAGGCGAGAATCTCTCGATCAAGCGAGGCTTCCAGGACTGATACTATATTTTTAAAGATTAAAATTTGAGGTGTTACAATCCTCCCCCTCTTATAAGAATTTTCGTCCCCGAAAATTAAACATACCTCGGAAAATAAAATCATCACCTAGACCTTAGGCACAAGAATATTCAACCAAAATCACAATTCGATTCTCTAATTCATTAAGATTAATTAATCAGTCACTAAGGGCATACACCATTAAACCATGATATCACCAAACCAATTCATGAACTAACTCCTCAATGTCCAAATATTAAGATCCTAGCCTCGAACAACATTGAATACCATGAGAACTAAACCATAATTCAGACTAAAGATCTTTTCTACATTTTTCAAGAACCATAGGTATCCATCACATATCCATCTATCAATCCTAACATACGTTAAGAATCCCGATAACACTCTCGAATTTCAGCGAATGGGGAACCCCTTATCCCATATCTATCTAAATGCATCTTTTAACATCCGTCATACACTAACTAGTTTCATCTCCACTCGAGAATCTAGCACAATTTCATTTTACTCGATCAACAAAATACCTACACAAAAGTCTCTTAATGCCTCATCTATTGTACACAATCAAACTATTCAATAATTGTGTAATTACATCAAATATTTCTACCATCAAATCTTATCGTCTTAAGAAGTTACAAATTTCTAGCCTCTACTGAAACCATAAAACCATTGATTCACACCAAAACTAGGTACTCTGTTACCAATCGGCAAGCACAAGTCGACCAGCATTCAAACCTACAACTTGCGTTCGGTTTGGTCACCCCAATTCCGTTAGTAAATATAAACTTATTAACCCTCTCGCATTATGTCCAGAAATACATGGGCGTCTCATATCACTAAACTTTTAACAACCTCATACTTATTCCGATATGGTTGCTAAAATTTCGGAATTCTCCAACATGATACTAAATCATTACTTAGGCACAAGCTAAGTTTTCCCAAAAATGATTTTCGAAAGCGGTTTGAATCCACGACTCATGGCAACCACGTCGTGAAACAAGGTTCGCACGCTCATTTCGACACAACCCAAAACTTCTTCTCTCCTATGGTTACACCACACCCATACACCGCAATTACTAACGTTCACGAAATAACAACAACTTTTGCCGGTACACATTCAACGCAGACAATTTCGGATCACCACCACTATTTCATGCGTTGCCAATGTCCTACCGCAAAAGAACCGGTCATTCGAGACCAAAAGTTTCACGTCTATTCCATTGCATTCATCACATTGGCGGGGTAAGTAACTTAACTAGCCTCTTTTCTCGACTATCATTATAAGTCTTACTCTTTTGCACTCATATACATATCAATGCAACTAGATCTTAATTCTTCACCTCAACAATCATCACATAGTTAAGCAAAACACAATTTTGATGACCGCTAGTCCATTTCCAGGATTAAATCCAACTGGGACATCATCGCGCATATCAACACTATAGTAAAGGTTCTACCATTTACCCCAACCGTACCCTGAGACACTACCAATCCAAAATAAGTTTTTTTTTTTTTTTTTTTGAGGTTCAACATCCCCGCACATAGCTTGGTGTTCAATACCAATATACATTTGTTACGGCGGGTACTCATCTTTAACAAAAAAATAAATTTCATAGACCAGAAGCTTCATACACAAGAATCAAAAATAACTTTTTCATACTTAATCGATTTTGGGGTACCAACCATAAGTCACCTCAAAATGATAATACATCTGATTAGTCAACATCCATGTAAACACATTAGTCGCAAGGACCTTTAGGTAATTTATCCAACCTCTATTTCATTTTAGAAATATGAGTTTCACCTCTTAGCGTGCGCATACACACTAAGGCCAACAAAGGGAATTAACCTGTAACA